CGGCGGCGCCGCCGCGCGAGGCGCGGTTTTTTCCGGCCCCGCCGCGCGCCCGACTGCTTCCAGGGCTCTGCCGCTGGTACAGCTCTTTTTCTCTCATCTGTCCTTCCTTCATCTCTCCGTCTCTTATATCCCCTTCCCTCGTCTCTCCGTCCCTCATCTCCGCGTCCCTAGTCTCCTTTTCCTTCATCTCCCCTTCCCTCATCTCTCCTTCCATCGTCTCCTTTCTTCATCTGTATTTCCCTCATCTCTCCTTTCTTCATCTCTGTTTCCTTCATTTCTTCTTCCCTCAACTCTCCATCTCTGAAATCTCCTTCCTTCATCTTTCCTTCCCTCTCAGTTTTCCTCCGCTGACCATCCTCCTCTTCCGCCAACATTCTCGCCCTCCACGATTCTCGTCTACCCGCCATGCTCTTCTGACCCTTCCTGTCCTCCCTACTCTCCAGACCCTTCGCTGCCCTTCGTGTGCTCCACCAATGTTTTCTCTGCCACTCGCCCCTCCCCCCTCCGTTGCCCCGTATTTCACTGATCTTTGCCTCTTCTCTTGAACGCTTACTTTTCTCTTTAATTCATCTTATCTTTGTCCATCTAATGGGTTCAACTTATACATTTACTTAATGGGTTAAACTTCTGTACAAATAATTATGTTCTTTATTAATTTTTTTCATTTTAAATAAGCTGTTTTTAATCTGCGTAACGGCATTGTTGTACGTTCCGAGAGCTTTGTGTAAAGTACCCCCAAGGTTTGAAGAAAGTTTTTCAAAGTCGCGGCGCATCGAGTGGAGCCAGATCGACTCTTGGTATATGCATTTTGGAAAGAATCGTACTGTGGTTTAAGCGCGAGTGGTGTTCACCGGCTGACGGAGGAAAGTTTGCTCAATTCTTTTTTCAGTATCAAGGACCCAAGAAACAGCGATTCTGACTACACCACGTGTTAGAATTTTTTTCTTAATTTAGCAACTGGATGTATACACTTTTTCGTTATGAGGGCCCGACAATAATTGTTTTTCTGCCGAAAGTCCGCTGTTTCCTCGCGCAGCATTACTAACTTTCCATACTCTACGTATATTACTCTGTACGAGTATATACGAATGTATATGGGAACGTAATAAAATTGATTGATGTTGTGGTGGGAGTGAATGATTTCACTGTTTACGTTCCTGCGATTTTTGGGGGACGTCCCAAGACGGATAGAACCGCAAAATATGTTTTTATTGATTGGATTGGTTTTGTTGTTTTTAGGTGTGTAATTGTTTATTATTAATTGAGAGATTTACGTTTTTGATTCGATATTGATATTTTGGAAAATAAAATTGATTGATCTTGTGTGGGGTAAGCTTTATTTAAGGACTCGCATATTATACGCAAACGTGGATTGTGATGCACCTCTGATGCAATACCTTTCAATTCACTCCCGAATTTCCACAGTCTATAACCTCCGTAACTTTGCAAAACTTCTGCAATTGCCTTGCACGTCGACTGAATCAACTCAGAGGGTTTGTGTTTGTAAGGAGAAACAGTAAGGCTTATTAGCCACACCGTTGTCCCAATGCCTGGATTTGAAAGTTGTTTTTGCTGGCTACAACGTTTTTCCTTTACCTACTGCATTCCTTTTTTCTGGGCGCACATCTTCGCTGTTTCATTTTACATGAAATTACAACGGAGGGCATCAAAACACATTTTTGTTTTTACTCTTTCTTTCGGAACATTCTAGTGGGAAGATCGTACACATTCTAGGTAATTGAATGGTAAAAATTTACAAAGGATTCGAAAAAGGCGAAAAAATAGTTGAAGGCGAATCATTGTGAATCGTAAATAACTTGAATGGTTATTTTAGTTCAGTCACAACGAGGTTTGAAATTATGACGTGGGTTTAACTAATTTTTTTTAAGTACTACGTATAAAATTGGTATCTCAGAAAATTACAAATATACTTCCAAAAGCACGCCATTTGTAAAACCTTGATGTAAGAGACGACAAAGAAGTCGTTATAAGTGAAATAATATTCTCGCATGCAATTATAAGTTATAAACTGATTTTATACTAAAGGCAACCTATGATTATTTTGTTGACCCACACAAAATAAACCATACTTGACATCAAATTCATCTTAGTAATAAAAAAATTGTTCATCCTGAGCACGAACGATTCAGTATTACCGTTCATTTAAAGGTTTAATCCTTCGTTTTTACTAATAATGAGTAAATTAACGTACGGAATTCATGAATAAAATAATATTTTATCCTCTTGTGCAATAAATTACATTACACAAATATATCAATACATACAGAGCAGTGACAATATGATTTCCAGAACACCAGACGGAGGGAGACAGCGCCTCAACAAAAACGCAAACAAAAGAAGGGGAGCGCGCGTCGGCGTCCCGCCTTCGCACCCAGCGCACGATCCGCGCGCGCCATTCGATCTCCGGCGGAGCGCCCCGACGGCCGGGGGGGGGGAGGGGGCCGTGGGCAAACAATAGAACGGCAGGACGAGGGGAGGGGGCGTTGCTCAGGGCTCCTTGGGCAGCGCGCAGACCAGCGGCCGAGCTCTTCGGTGCGGCGGCCGGGGTTGGGAGAGGGAGCAAAGACAACGCCCGTTTGAATCGAAGGCTTTCATTTCTAGAACGAGAACGGAATGAAATAGTTTGTTTTAATGAACCTTACGTCTTTGCTTCCCCGTTTTTTGACTTTTTAGAAACCAAATTGTTGATTAAACTACTAAAATCACTGTCTCGAGCAATGAAACAGTGGGTGAGGACACTCTTTACGTTGGAATCCTGTCAACAAGAGTGCTACCAACATAAATTATGTTGCATTATGTAACACGAGATGCATTATGTAACAAGAGAAAACGTGTGCTCACCACAATCATAACGAATGGAAGTAATGTCCCGGTTATTAAAGGCATGCTTCAACCCGGGTACACATGTTTTCGAGAACTTGCATTCAAGTTTCTTGTGATATCGACTGCACGTAATTAATCACATTTGTTTTATGTTCATGAATTATTTTTGCCTTACTTTTTAATACACTAGATTTTGCTGCACCCCAAAAGAAATATTCCAGTGAAGTTAAATGGGGGAACCGTAATTTGCGGGAATCCTGTAGTTATTATTATCTCAAAAAAACTCATTAAAAACTGCAAGTGGTTGGTTAGATGTATGCTCTAAAACATTATCTTGCTGATACAACGTTCAATTTTGTCTTTCTTCAACCAGTTTGAAAATTATCTCAGAACAGTAAACATCCGTATTCACCGTACTGTCGAAAAAATTATTATATTATTCTCTCTCGTGAAATTAAAACCTACACGCCAATTTTTTGCGATGCAATGTGCATATCCTATTGCTTTGGAATTATATGAAGATCAAATTCTTAAATTTTGAGAGTTGATGTAAAAAATAAATAAAACCATGCCTCATTCGTAAAGAACGTTTCATGGTTAAAGAATATTTCAAGGCCACGTCTTCTTATATAAAGCTTAAGAACCACTGACAATAAAGAGTCTTCATTTTATGTTAATTTCACTTTATTTTAGAATTAAAACTGTCTACAGTAAATATATAGGGATACAAATGAAGTTCATCTTTCACATATTTATGCGATGCTCACTTAGAGATTATGGTCTTTTGTGCTAAATTTCAAATTGATTACGTCTGATTATGCAACATTATATCTGTGATTTCAATTTTTTCATCTGTTTACGTCGTAATTCAGACTGTTCTCGGTACATTCTGAACTGAGCCAGTCACGCCAGAAAATAATATATTAAATTACGAACTGCACTGGGTTGCGGACGCTTGGAATTAGAAAAAAAAAACACAAAATTGTAATTTTACTCAGTAAACAGTCCAGTTTCGCGTAAAATATCTGAACACGTTCTCTCTTCACTTGTTAACAGAATAACCACTGAATTGCTTCACTCCCCCTGCATTTTTTGTATAAGTCCACGCACACTGCTAACATGAGACAGTTCCAATATACCCCAATAACCATCAGAAAATCTACCGCAAGATAACCATTCACATGTTTTCCAGTGATCTAGTTGCTACTAACATAGATCCAACTTTTAATAGGAATCCCTGACTCGGCTCGGTGCAAAGGTAATTTACTAACACGCTGTGTAAAGGGTAGTGATAGCGGTTATGATGATGCTGCTGATGATGATGATGATGGTGGTGGAATGATTGACAGGGAAACGCGAGAAGCCCGACAAAATCTCTTTCTCAGGGTCAAGGGCTCTCTTTTACGATCATTCGAATTGACCGGGATCGAACGTCCCAAGGGTGGAAGACATGTGCGCTAGCCATTTTCCCACGACCCCTCTAAAATAAATTGATTTAATTTAATACTTTCTTCTTAGTTATAAATAATCGATAAGTTTGAGAATGTTTAGAGAAATAAGATCACGATTCTGAGACATGGGCTAAACAAAAAGAAAATGAAATAGAGAATCAGAGATAAGAGACAGGGAGAGGATAGATAGGATGAATTATCACAATCTGTTAATATTATCATTATATAATAATGTATGTACTGGGAAATGGGGTGCAATGCAGCACAGTAGCATAGATAATAGTACCGTGTACTGTAATATTTACTGAACAATAATATTACTGACATTACAGAATTTCTGACATTTTGCGATGATTTACGTTTATACACACTGGGCTTAATTTCGAATTTACACTACTTGTTTTATACATTTGGCAGAGTAACCTTTCATAATTTATTATTATTGTGATAGTTATTATTATTGTTAGTATTCTTAATATAGAGATTAACTTCTGTCTTGTATTTCACATTTTCTCGTCTACAGTGTAGAAGAGAAATAGAATTGGAATCGGTCCAAAAATTGGAGGTCGTAATTTTCGTTGAAAAAATCGTTTTAAAGGGGTTTGAGATAATATGTGTGTGTATGAGTATGAAGTCAATTGGTGTGGAAATATATAAATGTTGAATGAAAAGTGCCAAAAAATAGTCAGATTCTTCAACTTTACCAAACCTAAATAAACGTGGTCTGTGGGATCGACTGTCGTGCGACTGCAATACTATCCTTTCGTAATATGTAATATGTATTTTATCCAAATCATAAAAGCAAATTAAAGTGTACATCCGGTGAACCTTTACGTTAATTTCCAGTAAAAATTTCATTTCAGTGAGGTGTCCGTTCTGTATTATTTATTATATACAAACGTGTTCATAAAAGTAGTGAGATAAAATATCAGGTTAAACTTTTAGGTATTAATCGATGATTTATTGTATCTCTCCGTATACAAATACCTCTATTTATAGTTATTGGTTACTTTCTAAACAATACAAACGTACTCCAAGTTATGAGAACAATTTTGTCGATTCTTTATTAAACAAATTTTTGTGGCAGCTGCAGTAAATCAACTGCTCTCGTT